TGAGGATCTTACTTTAAGCTAAACTTTGATTTGGTTCTCTGGAAAACCATCGTGCCTCGACCTCGCAGTAAATATATATCACATATCGAAGTGACAGCCTTTGTTAAATGTTTTTTTGTTTATTTTATTTTTTTAACAAAGTTTTAATTTCAAATATTGTTCCTTTTTGTCCACCTCCCACCGAGAAACATTTACACCCTGCCCTCCCCGAGGTGACGAGGAGTCTGTATATTTGTCAGATATGTTTTAATGTCTATATTTTCTTTGGAACATAGTTGGTGCTTATGTGTTATATATAAATAGATTTATTAGACGTATTGTTTTAGACTGCATTTATTCACTTGTCATATAACGATCATTTTTGCCTTATATGTGAAAGTGTGTGTGTGTGTGTGTGCGTCTGTGTTCTTTGTTTTTCTGAACCCTTCCGGAACAAAAAAAAAAAAAAAAAAAAAACCAACATCACATAAAAACAAAAGTGATTGTAATTTATCTATTATCTAAAGAACATGTAATTTATTTCCTATTTCTAAAGGGCTGTAGCAATTCTTTTTTTGTCGACATCAGAGTTTATGAGATTGTTTTTATTGATTCTTTGACTTTTTTTTATTATTATGCAAAAGAACAAAAAGCAGTGGAAGAAATAACTGAATGACAAACAAGAAAATAAAACTACATTATGAATAAAATCAAAACAACAGAGGCGGCCTTGGTGGGAGTTTGTGTTTTTGGTTTGTCCAATAAATGAGGTGACGTTGCCTGTTTCTTCCAAACGATGGAGCCATTGAGTCTCAAACCGGTAAGACCAAAAAAAAAGGTTAATGGAATGGACTAAATGGTTATTGTCTGTTTATATATTTAACATTTCATCTTTTTCAACGAACAGCGAGAGCAAGAGAAAATCCTAGAAGGTGGGAAGGATGAGGGGCGGGGGTCACATCCTGGACGGTTCCCCCAGTCCACCACAGAATGTAAAGGTTTTTTTTTAATAATTTTTTTTAATATTAAATTTTGTGTTTAATATACAAAAAAAAAGTACAGAATTAGAAAACACATTGGTGAAAAAGTACCTCCAGTATTGCACCTCACATGTTGAATTCCTGTGATGTCAGTGATTTCTTTGGTGACGAACCAAAACAAACGCAGTGACGGAGTGGATGAGGAGTTCTGTCGTTTGGTAGAAAAGCTGAGTAACGGCGTGTGCGTGGCTCCCTGCTCAGCATCTCTGCTCGTGCGTCGCGTGCATCGTTCCTCCTCTCGTCATGCCGGTGGCGTGTTTTCCTGCCAGCACACCGTGCAGCACCACAGGGCTTAGTGGGCCTCGCGTGCCTCAACTGGGTTTGTGAGAAGCCCTGCAGTGGTGACACGTACATGTGTGTGTGTCTGTACTCGTTCATGTTGCCTCTTTAGGACATTTTCCAGTAGAGACACAGACTTTGCCAGGACCAGAAGTCCTCATGGGGGAGGGGAGAGGGGAGGAGGGGGGCACTGCTAATGAAGCAGAAGCTTATTCCTAGAATCTCTAAATATAAATAATATAATATAATAAAATGAGTCAGAGTCCCCACCTGAAACTCGCTCTGTGTTTGTGATAGTATGGTCGTGGGGACACTCACTGTCGTTTCACCTGAGACCCCCGCTGAGTGTGAGGGTATTTTAAGGTTCCCGTTTTAGTCAAGAGTCGGGGTAAGGATTAAGATTATAGGCTAATGTTATGGTAAAGGCTGAGGGACCGGATTACTTCTATGTGAAGGGCTTGCAATACACCAAAAACCAGCCTGTGTGTGTGTTTCAGAGAGGGCACCAGGCAAAACTGGCAGATGGCGACATTTAGGATTTTTGGAAGTCAATGCAGAGTCCTCACAAGAATGGCTGTGCAATAATGTGTGTGTGTGTGTTTGTCACAGAGGGCACGAGGCAAAGCAGGCAGATGGTGACCTTTGGGAGTAAATTACCATGAACCCCATGACTCTCTTTTCACTCACTCATGTTCCCACGTCGACGGTCACACGCACATCACTATGTCTGTGTTTGGATGGTGAAATACGGCTGTTTAACAGTCTCTGAAGACCGTCCTCACACGGAGCACTTTTTTTTTTTTTTTTTTTTTGGAGACCAGGGTCAAAAAAGGGC